GTAATATTACATTCAGTGGTTTTATTTCATAGGTAGATATTTATACTATGTTGCACTATGTTTGAGAGTTTGATGATCTCCGGGTGATACCTATTGAGCCTGTTTCTCATTGGGTTCCGGAAGTTTGCAAGTTACAGCTTCTAATGGGTTGTCCTGCATATCAGATCTTGCTCTGCGTGTGTGGGCAAATTTAGTTATGCACAGGAAAAGATGTTAAATTCCTCAAGCTATTGATAGGGGACTGCCCACAACTGTCAGATACAAGTACTCATACCAAACAATCTAGCCTAAGTATAACACAACAGGATGCGCTATGACCATTACACTGGTACTACAACAACTACAGCTTCAGCAACAACAAAAAAGATGCCTTCATGAGCATTTCACAGGGGTTGTCAAATGCGCACCTTCCTTCGTCAGCGTCTTGTGGAAATTAAGCCCACGACACCTCCAGAAGAGAGTGGTGTCTTGCGTCACTGACCGACCGCCCCTCTATACTCACGATGGGTTAGGACACATCAATATCAGAGACAACAACAGATACACCAAGATACGCCCCTTAGGTCTATCGGCTGGTGGCTCCAAATATGCCATCTTCAGCCACAGATTTAGGTGGCTTCAAGTATGGTGCTCAGACTTGGGGACATGTGACTTAACCTTTGTTATGTTAAGAAGCCTGTTGCATGTCTTGCAAGCTGGCTTATACTTTGACATACTTTACGAGACATTCCGGATTTTAGCACACCTGTGCCTGCATCAGCGGGGCACGGTACAGCTGAAGAGGCCATACTTAAAGCTACCAAAATCTGTAGGGGCATGAACATGGCTGACGAACCAAGACGGATAGGCATTCAAACATGATTGTTGTGGGGAAGTCTCTCATTAATCATCTTGTAAATATCCTGAGGTGTATCTGTTGTTTTCTGTAATATTGACATGTGTCCTAACATATCATGAGTATGAAGGGGGTGGGTCTGTGACGCCAGACACCATTGCCCTCTGGAGGTGTCGTGGGCTTAATGTCCCACTTGACAACCCCTGTGAAATGCTCATAAAAGGTATCTTTGTTGTTAGTATTATTAAGTTCCACCGTAATGGTCATAGCGCATCCTGTTGTGTTTTTCTTAGGCTAGGCTGTTAGGCATAAGTACTTGCATCTGACAGTGAGGGGCCTGGCTGTTGTGCAAGGTCCCCTATCAATAGCACAAGGAATTTAAATCTTGTCCTTTGTATAACTAAAACTGCCCACACACACGGAGCAAGATATCATCTAATATGCAACGAAAAAAAAACATAGCAAGCTGTAACTCGAAATGTCCTGAATCCTGAAAAACAGGCTCAATAGGTATCTTACAAAGATAGAAAACATTAAGGTCAACATAGTACAAATGTCTACCTATGAAATAAAACCAATGAATGTAATATTACAGCCAGTAAAAAGTAGCTATTTTCAATAATTTATGAAATGATGGTGTTATCCATCTTCTTATACATACATGCATGTGCAATTAATATTAACACCCTTTCAAAATGTTTCAAGCAAATTCAAACAGTCTTTTCGTGGTTAAATATACAGTCAAAATATCTTAAAGCTATATTTAGCAAGATCTGTAGTACTCAATTTTTTATGCAGGACCAAATGACTTCTAGATGTGATAGAACTGCATTAATACTACACAAAATCTAAATCTGGCTGCAAGAAAGTGAAAACTCATGGAGATATTAATTTTTGAAAATTCTTCATTTGGGTAAAAATATTTCTAAAAATGTTTCTTGGTTGCCCAGAACCAATTTCAACCCAATCCAGTGAAAAATAAGCAATTGGTGAGGCTTAGAGTGCAAATACAAAGTATTGCAAAAAATATGAAAAGGGTCAAATTTCAAAAATTCATAACTAACAAAGTACTAGGAGTAGAGCTATAGTATTCTGCAAGGTTCCCATGAATTTAATAGAAGTTTTCACGATTTTATTTTCAAGAAAATGCATGACATGAACTGGGAGGGATGAGTGAGTTGGTATGGAATGATCCACTATTAAATAATTTTTAAATATGAATAATGCTAAAATCTGAAATCATAAACTGCAAAACCTACATTTTTAGGGCACACCAGGATCATATATATAATATCAATCTTAAAGTGCTTATTCACACACTGTAGCATTGACTTAGTGTACAACACTGCCCTCTAGAGTCCATAGGCTGAACAACAGACTGGAGAGGAAAACTATTTTTATGATTTTTATCTTATTTTGCTACATAATGTAAAACTGAACTACCAAAATCACTGAGCGTGATGCTGATACTTTTACAAAAGCCTCATCTTTTCCACCCATTCACATGCAGACTAAGCCACTAAAGGGCACAGACTGTACTTAAATGTATAATTAAATCTGAATTTGAAGACAATGTAAATGTTTTATTTTATGAGGACCTTATATGGCAATTCTGTCTGAGTCATCTGATGAATTAGCCAAAAAGCCATGAGCCTCTGAGGAGCTACAATGACCACAGAAAACAGCCAGCCATTTACCATATGTTCGAGCCTACTGCAGAGCGCAAGGCAATGAATGACAAGTTAATGAACAGGTGTGCATGCAAAGCCCATTAAACAGCATATGCTGCTGGAGGAAGTCACAACCTTAGCATGTGAATGGTGAATAACAATCAGCCTGTGAAAACGTAAAGACATCAATGGATGACAAAACACATTCTATAATTTATTAATCCAGTTGCATCCTCTTCAGTAAGTCTAAGTGTAAGCAATACTAAAATCAGCCATTAGTAATTTGATTACTGGTGGTAGCACATGATTTGCAGGCTCAAAAAATTTCCACTGCAAACTCATGCAAGTGAATAAGGAATGGAACAGTCCAGCTCCTCATGATTAATTTAATTAACAACATCACAGCCTCACAGCCTTCATCACCTGGCTCCTGGTAATTAAACCAAGCAGTAACAGCTTGAGTATGAAGTTTTTCTTTTTTTTTAATTTGTATAACTGCCACTTCATTTCCTCCACCCCAAATTTGAGATTTACGTACTCCAGCAGCTGCAAGTGTCAAAATCTAGAACTTAACAAATCGTTTGAATGTTTGAGCTGCAGCAGATAAACAGCTGAAAAGAAGTTGTCAGAGTGAAGCTATTTCACAGTTTCTACGAGGGATGTTAGACAGACGATTTATAATCTCTGCTCATGCCAAGTATCGAGGGAACAAAACACCCTAGAACTTCCACCACAGGTCTGACACCACTTGAAAATACAACATCGCACTTGAATGACGAAAAAATTCAGACAGTGCAAAAACAGAAGGTATAAAAATAAAAACAGAACTCATTGCCTTGAAAGACAAATCTGTTATATATTGTAGCAATTTTTCTGATTATTTTAGTTCATTTTATACAAACCATTTATTCACTGTCAGCTCTGTTTTGTCCTTTCAAAAGCAGATTTTAGCCTGTTTTAAAAAGTTACACAAGAATTTAGTGTGAAGCCATTTGTAGGGATGTGCATTCCAAATAATTTTGATATTCGAGTATCTGTAAGAGTTCCAGTTAATCACAGGGAAGATGGTAAAAAGTGCTTCAGCTGAAATTAATGAAGGTCTGGAGCTGGGGCAGGGGGTCGGGGGGGCTTATTCTTTTAGGTGACCAGTGTTGTTAAGAGGCCAAAATATCAATAACAAAAAATGTAATAAATTGGAAATAATTCGTTTTCGTGTTAGATGACTAACGGAGGTTGCCTCTTTAAATGTGAGCTAAAACTACAGTTAACTGGTACAGCACAGAATGTTGACAAGCACTCGTCATCTTGTGCAAGGTAATTTTTTACTTGTCAGAGTAATATATTTCCACTATTTCTGAAAATAGCCAACATCAAGTACACAAGTTATCCTAGTTAGCACAAGACACTACAAGTGTTTTCTCAATCACATCATTAACAGAGCGTGCTTGGCAACACTTGTGTTTCAGTGTGAAATACGTACATACAAATATGAGCAAAACTCATAACATTTTACAGTCATGTTAAAACATAAAGAGCAGCGTTTCACTGAATTTCAGTATTCAAATACCAGAACCTCAAACAGTTAAGAGTACTCAAGTACCCACATACACCCCTAGCCATTATTAGCAAGTAAACTAGATATCCTCAACAACCAGCATACCACAGGGTTTTCTTTTTATTGTGCGCAATAAGCGGTTTGTAATTGGTCATTTTGCATGAGAGTTAAAAAACCTTTCCTACCAAACTTAGCAGTTCTCAAAACCTACCTGTTCTGACTTAGACTGTACTTCAGCATAGTTTTGCACAGCTTGCAGTTGAACTGGTTTCATCTTGTGTGGTATTTCCAAATTAATCAATTACTTTGGGCTTTGCCTGGATGTTCACTGCTGTTTTTTTGGTTGTCATCTGTTAGGACTGGAAGTCAATCTCAAAATTCCATTTATCGATTCCAGACATTCAGGAATCAGCAGTGATCTCCAAAGCTTTGCACTCGTAATGACGTTCAAGTTTGCCTGTACCAGCACGTACACACAGCGAGATATTTTGTGGTCACTGTCTAAACAATCTACTTGAAAAACACATCCTTCCACAACTCACACGTCAATAGTCCAGACAAAGTGGAGAACATGGCAAGATGTTTAAAAAAACAAAACAAAAAAAAAAACAGAAAATATATAACAAAATGTATAACCTCTACTGTCTACCCACGTGAAGAGGCTGACAGGGGGAGAATCGGGTGCAACTTAGCTAGCAACTTATTAATTTCCAATTTTCCTTGCTAAGGTCAAACATATTTAATACTGTGCTCTTTATTTTTGCCAGATCTGCTTCTTTGTGTGTTGGTTCTGTATGTCAACCCCAACTAGCAAGCGGGTATGAACAAAAATCACAGACTGTCATGTTTACAACTCTTCTACATCTGGCTGCTTTGTATAAGCCATGTACCTCCATGGGAGAAGGTCAAAAGTCACCACTGAAGTTAGCGTGGCAATGGCTGTTGAGTAAGTCATTCTTACCTCCTGGAGCTTTCTCGTTCTCCTCCATGTACTTTCTGGCAGCGTCGCTGGCTCCCTCTGCCTGCTTCTGGAATGCCTCGTTGGAGGCCATGAGTGTGGCCTGCTGGGAGAGGAGCGAGGCCAGGCGCCGCAACAATCTGAAATAGGAGGAAATAAAATTAATAAATACAAACATTTCAGGCTTCTGAGATGGCTAAAAGGACAGTGTTCTGCCTCTGGGATCCAAGACTGATTCCCAGCTATTGGTGGCCGGGAGTCTGAGGTAAAACAAACAACGCTGCTTTCATAAAGTAGGATGTAAGGCCCATGTAAAATACCACTGGGCTGATAAAGTCAACCAATATTGAAGTACCATGGATTTATTGGCATTGTTGAAATTCCAATGAAGCACCAACTATGTCTCTTTAAATGCTGCTTAAGAAAACCAGATCCATAAATGCGATGTGATTAATAACAGCCAGTCACAGTCCGGCGTTAAGAGAATTAATATTTGAGAGTTCAGTATTGGGAGAGTTCATGATACGTACCTGTTTTAAGTTTTAATATTATGAGTGGTTTGGTTTATTTTTATATTTATATGGTTTAAGTCTCTGAGGTTCTGCTGTTTGAGTTGAATGAATTTAACGATTGAGAACCTTAATTTTCCAGGAGACATTTCTGAGGATATCTGGTACAAGATAACTCACTTATGTGCAAAAGAAAATAACAGAAAAACAGTAATTCAAAAAGTGATTCAAAGGTACAGAGGAAATGGGACTCCTAACTGCCGTGCAAGACCTAGTAGACCACCAAAACCACCCCCCATCAGATAAATCAGCTCTGCCCTTCATGCTGTGGCTGAATGCCAACATGTGCATATGAACACCACATGTGTAGTTTCTATTCATACACAACCTAAAAAAGGCATGCAATGGGTGGAACAGCTAAATTTAGCCATTTAGTATCATTAAATGTAGTGCTGAAAGAACACCCATAATATTGAGACTTGGGGTGCAGCCTGAAAGTTGTGTCCTGGCCAGAGATTGTGTTACATGACCCTTAGAGAACACCTCACATTACTAGGAACCTGAAATGCACCCTTACTGCTCCCACGCAACTGCCAGCTGAGATAACTCATTACAGTAAATAAACAACTGCCACATATCTGAATGTTCTGCTTCCAGGAAACAGGGGTTTCAGGTGTTTAGGCCTTTTGGGATGTTTATTCCCTTAAAAAGGAGTCAATGGACCAATATTAAACTCTTCTGTATGCCTAGAAAGACAATAAAGCTTATCTAATGAAATAAAGCTGAACTTTCAATGATCACTGTACAAAAGGGCAAACACGTCAAATACTACAGTGAAGCATGTGTGGCTACACATAAGTCATCTCAAAGGGGTCTGCACATCTCAATAAAGGGCGCGTGTAAGATGAGTTCGTATTCAACCACCTGACCGGGGCATGTATTCTCACCACAGCAATCTGGGGAAACCACACCTAGCATACGTGCTAACACTGACCGCTCCGCACCCCGGTGAGCCACAGCTTAGCATACGTGCTGAATGTGACCACTCTACTCCCTTGTCATTCACTGCTCATGAGGTCATCAGCATAAGACTTGCATTCAACAGGGTCCAATCATCGTTCTCGGGTTGCAGCAGGTACTTTCCACATCATTTTGATTGGCCCAGCTGTTTTGAGTCTGGAGTGAAACAGAAGGCACTCTGTGCTGTGGCTCCAGCTGCCCCGAAACATGCCCCACTATAGGCGAGATTTAGGGAGGCCTACAGTTTGTCCAAAACAGCGTTCACAAACATGACCACTGGCTACAACATCAATACAACTACTACCCCTACTTATGCTAGTCCCACTAGTCCTACTACTGCTACTGCTACTACTACTACTATTGCTACTACTACTACTACTACTACTACTAATAATAATAATAATAACAACAACAACAAGAAAGGCCTCAATCATTATAATACTCTGGTTATAATACACTCATTATAATAATTGGTTCTCTACTCAGAAGTGCTGTCTTTTTTAAGCCCACAGAAATCGTAGCCTTAATTAAGTTTCATTGGCAAAGGCCTTTGCAAAGAACGCTTACTGTTTGGAAAATGTTCAAAAATAAATAAACTGTAGCATTACAGATTTATGCCAGGCATCTAGGGCACCTCACCTTAGACTGCAATAAACTGGGCTGCTTTACACATGAAGCTAAAAGAGCAAAGATGCCTCAGAAAAAAACAAACAAAAAAAAATCACAAGTGGGGGCATTTTAAATTATCAGATGTTAAGAAAATTGATCCCTGCAAAGTACGTGATAGGAGGCTGGTATACCATAGAGGAGTGACATGTATGATGAATCATCTTGTATGCAAGTAAAGCGATCTTACCCATGTCTTTGTTTTATAACAAGTCTAAAACTGGACGGCACAAACAGCAGGCCTATCAGTATTTATGTCTGTATCAGAGAAATGTGCCCTCAACTTATTGTTAATACACTGCAGGAGCTGCACTGCTACTACTACACCAAGAAGATGACATGTTCGCTGTAGAAAGGAGTGTGCAATCTGACTGGATCTCTATGGAGGTCATGCCTCACTCACTCAGTGGAAAAAACGAAAAAACAAAAAACAAAATCAGGTCAGACACTCAGACTAGCCTAAACACAAGTGCTTTTAAATAGAGAGGCCTCATTTTGCTTTAATGCTTCTAAACTATAAAAACGTATGAGGCATCTAAGCTCAGTGCACTCTTTAAAAATGTGATCTTTTAAATTTAGCTTTCAATTAATATATCTACCTATCTTACTTTTTATTTTGCTTACATTTCTTATTTTTATACATGCATTTCTTGCTTATAAATCACTAACCTGTTCCTCGTATAATATTGTTTACAACTATAATTATCATAATTTGGATTTCAAAGCATCTATGTCAACAAGTCACTGAGTCTCTTGCACATTCTGGTGCAGATTGATAAGAGTGAATCACGTCCCATCTGTCAAAATGTCACGGGCCATGTTAGGCACCCGTACAGCAGCTGTGCGCTTCCCGAGGCGGTGGGCTTCCTCCTGTAACGCGAATACCTAATCCTTGGAGACCTAGTCTAATATAGGTCTCCAGGGCACGCCACCAACACAGGCTAAATATTCATCAGCAGTTGCTTGATCACATGCTCTGGTGAAGCAGCTGCCTGAACGATTACAAGTCTGACACTCGGATTTTGAAGGTGGGGGGAAGTAGTATCAGAAGTAGCTGTAGTAGTTGCCCCATGGGCTATTAATACCCTGTCATTCAGAGAAATATGGGATTGCCCCTGTAAGGAGAAAGCACGCGCACTCAATACATAAGCTGGAAGAGTCACTGACACATTGTGCTATACGCAACTCAGAGTGGCCTCTCACATGATTAGGAGCTGTGTAACCATGGATGAGGTTTGGAAATGGAAACTATGTGGGGTCCCCTGCTGATCATTCTTTCCAGTGTTACTGTAAAATTAACATCTGTCTAGTATAAGACACAAAGAATCAGTGTGTTACAAAAGGCCATTCGCTCTTTAATGCCTCTAAACAGAGACGCTGCCAACAATTCACAAAAGAATTAATCAGTATGGAGCAGTGGTTAAAAGAGGTACAAACTGTGGATGCAGCGATTTCACCATATAATCTTTTTAAGAAGTGCAATAAGAATAAGCTAAAAACAGGTTAAAACCCAAAAATGGGTGATTGAGAAGTTTCACTTGGCCTTGAAAAGTACTGTAAACATTTATTTTATATGTCTTTTTTATTATTATTATTATTTACATTATTTAGCAGACCTCCAGAGCTACTTACAGTGTGTGGTGAATGTAATATTAGAAACTTTGCATAAGCATTCTGACTTGTGTGGGGAGGGAAACTGCAGATCTACACCATCTGCTGGCTGCATTCAGAACCTTCTGAATCACCATACATTTCATCAGAGGAAAATGTCTGAATTAAAAATCGCTTTTTAAACAGTCATTTTGCGAAGACACAAGCCTAGTAACTATGAATAAAGAGCAGTATAGCAGAATATTTTGCTGAGCCATGCAACATTAACAATTAAAATTAAACTGAACTACAAAACCCACAGATTGCACCACAGTCACCGGTTTATTCTGCTTCTTCAGTCTGTTTTTCTGCATTGTTTAGTTGCAAACGCTCAGGCTTCCATTCTAAAGATAGTCTAAAGGCATGCTTGTCCAGAATCACATTACAGGTGGTGGAATGCAACCAAACTAGGCTGAACACTGTTTTCTCTCATGAGCTTACTCTCATAAAAATTGTGCTGTTTTGGGCAGGTTTCACAGTTGGACTTGTGACACACTAAAATGAAAATTTCTGGGACTTTCCTTTCTGCTTCTGTGGTTTTTCTGTGTTCTGCATATCGAGAGGGACGTTGTATTTCTGAGTGAAACCAAACGTGTTAATGTAATAGTACTTGGTGGTCATATCTCCTGTTGTCTAATATCCCTCACAGAAACCGTGAAATACACAATACTATATATACACAATATGGCCCTCCTAATTTTTGAGTTCAGGTGTTTTAGCCACACTCGCATCACAAAGCCAAGCAAATGCCATACACAAACATTTGCAGTAGAATTAGTCGTATCGAAGAGCTCAGTGACTTTAGACGTGACACTGCCACAGAATGCCACCTTTGCTGCAAGTGAGAAATGTTTGCCTTTTCAGGGTTTATGCTCGGCCTCTCCTGGCCAGGGAAGGCTAATGCTAATGCTAATGCTACAGCATACAAAGACATTTTAGACAATTATATGCTTCCAACTTTGAGCAAAAGTTTGGGGAAGGCCCTTTCCTATTGCAGCATGACTGTGCCTTTGTGCACAAAGCGAGCTCCATAAAGACATGGTTTGACAAGTTTGGGGCAGAGGAGCACCACTGGCCTGCACAGAACCCTGACCTCAACCCCACTGAACACCTTTGTTTATACTGTTATATCCACAAAGGGGGATCAACTACATATTAATGCCCCCAATGTTGGAACAGGTTGTTCAACAAACTATAGTAGGTGAAATGGTCAAGTGTCTACAAACTTTCCATTTAGTGTAGTTTAGTGTAGTGTAGTGACGTTTTTTTCAAATTGTTCAAACATGTCTGCTCTGACCTAAAAAACAAACTGCATTTTTAATCACTGCTTTTCATTTTCAGTAAAATTATTTATTAAGTTATTTATTAAAATGCTTTGTCTTTTTTCTCTTCAGGTGAAAACCTTAGGAGCCACTTTTGGTTGAAATGTTTCAGTGGCTGAAAATCCCCACTGCCCAGTGGGATGCTGAGATAGAAGCTGTGGTTGGTTTTATTCAATATATTCAATATATATACATACATACTTATTCCTCCCAATCCAGCATGGCTGTAGGGGGTTTGGGCCAGGAGAGACAGGATCAGTTGTGGTTGTACTGCGATAGAGATGTGCATCACATAAAAGCTTTTTATCAGCAAGTTAAAATGCTGAGTTTAATTACAGGAAATAAAAACTGGATCTGATTATTGGCCTAGTACTTATCCTCTGTAATTCCAATATCCAAAAATCAGCAACTAATAAAATCAGCCACCAATATACTGTGCACCCCTACTACTTCCACCACACTGTCAGCAGTGCTACAGTCTTTCCTGACTCTCTAAGTCTGGGTGGAATGTTTGACTGGGTTAACAGGTGAAGTGAGAGGAGTGCCTGAAGGTGTATATGAGTGTGTGACTCACAGGCACAGAAGCAGGGCAAAACCTGCAATATACTCGTTCCTCTGCGCTCTGAACAGCTTCATGTGGATGTGCTCAATGGCCACAGGGTTGTTGGACAAGTCCACCTTGTCAGTCACACTGTACTTCCGCACTTCTCTGAACGCATCTGTGAAGACATACACAGTCCCACCTTCAAACAGTGCCACAAGTGTGCTAATCAAACAGCAAAAGTGAACAAGGTGAATTTATACTAGTAGTGTAATTTAAGAGAGTTCTACAGTGCACATTTGCTCCTACTTTCATTGAAAATTAATAGAATTTAGGATTTTGATTTAGAGGCATCAGCGCAAGAACATGTTGCCTACCATTGTTGGTATAGTTTTAAACATATAAACAAAATTGTTAAACGATGATAGGATGAAAAGCTGGATATAGATGAAAAAATGAAAAGAAAAAAAAAGCAGCATTGCGCATGTTTTTTTTTTCTTTTGTCCTTTTTCAGGCAATGTTACTGATGAACATTCAGACCTACAGAATTTAGCCAGATCTTTATTCTCAGGATGAAGTCACTAAACGCTATTACATAACCACTAAACACACCGGAACTAGCATGGTATGTTGACGAGTCGATGGCTATTTTTAAAACTCACTTTGTAAAATGTTTGCTAAAGTAACATATTGGTAAATATGCTACAACGAGTGTTTTTTTGTCCTCCTCATTCAAGAGAAAACTGTACACTATGCTTGATGATACATTTGCTGGACTACGTGCGCAGAACAGTGCAGAATGTTTGGTTATTTTCTCAGAGTAGAGTTATCTGGCAAGTTCATCATGCAAACAAGCTAAGCAGCCTGACTGAGCCCCAATGCTACGCTCATCATCAACACTCATGGAAAAGGAGCCATTGTAATTTTTTTGGCCAGACAGACTGCAGCATTCCCATGTACTGAGTTAATGTCTTTTGGTAAGCAATCATGCACCAGAATTCAATTTTACAGTCCAGTCCTTATGATTGCTGAATAAAACACTGCCATTTCAGGGCCAGTGGGAACAAAAATGGATTAAAAACGAATGTCCAGTTTGTGCTCACAGATTTTTCTGTTTGCTCGTTTTTTATTTTTCAGATTAGGAGCCACCAGGTCTCCTTGGTAAAAAGCTTACTGTAGAACCCTGCTGAGCGTGTGGGTGTGTGGAACTGGGATGTATTGAGTCGAAATGCATAATAAGTTTTCATACTGACCAACCAGAAGGAAGACCAGGATGCAGATAACCACAATGAATGCTGTGTTTCCATAAGTTGTAATGGTGACCACCAAACGAGATTTGAAGATTTTGCTCCATCTAGAAAAGACAAGAGGCCTCTATTAAGCAACAGTACAGCACAACATTAGAAAATAAAGGAACTGGTGAGACACATACAAAATTCACACTGGCCTCTCGGGCCAACAAAACCAGAGGCCAAAACTAAGCATTTGTGGCCACAATAATAGGAACGTTTTACATATACACATTGTATTTACAGTTAACAAGCATGTTCCAATACCAAATAAACAGTCAGATGTTGCTTCAAAAAAGGAAATATTTCTTTATGATAGTAGTATAATAGGTGATATGACAAACAGGTAATACAACGATACTTCACGACGTTTTCACAATTCACTTTTCAGATGTCTAATAAATCGGAAAGAGAAAGCAGTGCTACATTTATTACTAAACTATACTAAAACCAATTGATTAATCTCTCTTTGTAATCAAACTTGCACTTACTCAGTGTTTTTAATTACTGACGATGTCCACAATCCGCTCAGAAAAGCATATCGGGACATACTGTGACATAATTTATCATAACACATCATGTCATACTGCACAGCCCTAATTAAGAACTTACAAGTCAATAAGAACATTGGGCCTCATTTACCCGCTGTGCTTAACAAGAAATTTTTTCTTAAAACCCACTTTCGCAGTTTCTCACGAAGATTCTGACATTCCCCAGTGTTTTCTTATTTGGGATTTGTTCTTAGGTAAGAACAGAATCTACAAACACTCAAGAGCACAAAGGTGTGAACAGTTCTGCGCTTTAAGAACACGTCATGAATCTGACGCAGAGTTTTTCTAAAGACCTTTCTCAAGAACCCGTTTAAGAACAAACTTAGGAAGATATTGGTGAAAGAGGCCCATTGATGTTGTGTTGACTGTGGCGGTTCCACCTGCCAAGCGGATCCATGTCACTAGGTACCGTTTAGCTGCATCACCACATGATCATATTAGCGATGACCAAATATGATTTGATGTAATTAGTTCTGTGTCTGACCAAACAAGTTTGTTAAGAGGGAAAAACTGTATAATAGGCACCGTTGACCCCCCAGATAGTAACACAGGAAAATAACATGGGATGAAAAATAAGTATCCACCCTAAACACAGGAAAGTAAGTTAAAAACACAAACCAAAGCTTTAACACTTTATTCCAGTCTATTCACCTACAAAGCCCCCAAAACACTTTCAGTTACGTAACAGTATTTTTCCAGGCTTGCTGACCAAACTAAGCTCTATGTAGGTGCTTATTTGCAACTCTAGGAAAGTGTTGTTTACAACTTTCTGTTTTTATTCAACCTAACAAGCTTTAAATCAAAAACACGGTCACATGAATCTGCTTCAATTTAAGAAATTCTCCACAACAACACTCAGGAAAAGTTAAGGCTGAGAGGAATTTAATTATCTGTGTCTGACATAATCAGACAAAGTTATTTACTGTTAGATGAGCACTCTGACTTCTCTGTGACTAGTGTATCTGACTGACCTAAGAAACTGGTAAGAAAATAGTTTGAGAGAGAGAGAGAGAGAGAGAGAGCAAGAGAAAGACAGAGACAAAATGAGAGAGACAGAGAGAGGGATAGAAACAAACAGAATGAAAGAGCAACAGAGAGATACAGAGAGATACAGAGCAAGAATGAGAGAGAGAAAGAGAAAGAGACAGAAATACTGAGGGAGAGAACAAGAGAGTGAAGAGAGAGACACTGAGAGAAAGAGAGAGAGACAGGACATGCTTTCAGTTAATGAGAGTAATGCTGATTGTACAACCTGACGATTATGTTCTTCTGACTGGCCTTCAAATAATCAAACTTTTACTCTTCTTCAAGAATGAGCAACGAAACGTGATGCCAGAAGTGGGTTATTTCACAAGGGCTGGTTTCACAGTTAACTAGACCAGCAACAGAAACGCTCCTTATTTTTTCTCTGACTAAACAGCCACGACTTTTTGCTTAAAGGAAAACTCCACCATCTAATCTCTACCTGCCACACCTGCAGCCCAGCGACAGACAGCGGCCAGGTTTCCATCCAGCTGTTGAATAAAATTCAAGGAATATCTAAAGTTTCATAAATATATACTAATTTCCTATCAGAGTTTCGATCAGCTCTGTACGAGAGAATAAACCTCCTCTTAAAAATGCTCTTAAAAAGAAATCTGGACCAAGTTTACAGACAAATCTTTAAAGGTTGCACAGCTTCTTGTTGCTGTTTTGTTTAATATTATGTCTATATTTTACACTGTAAGAGCTCAAAGGCAGAACAGGCAGGTCAGGCGTCACGGCTCAGGGAATGTTTGTTAATCAGCTGCAGCCATTTTATGTCCTTTCTAACATCACCATTATGTTTTTTCCTTTAATAAAATAAAAGCACAGTTTAATTTTTTTCATCAGTTCACCGTAACCTGTCACTTTCCATGTTCTGTAGCAAATGCCAAGCAAAAACAGCCACGTGATCAGACTTATTTTAATTGCATTTATGTTAGTTATTCGGTCAATGAGTTTCCATCATAATTTATCACATTTATTTTTTAGCTGCAAAATAGTGTTCACTTCAAGAAAGCATACAAACTTTAAGCAAATGTTGGCAGTTTTATTCTATATTGTTCACTTCCATCAAGTCTTTTTTATTGGAAACCTAGCTTATAATTTGTATGCCCTTCCTGTACTTAGAAAAAGAAAACTTCTAGATTCAAAACGCATTTATAACAGAAGTCAAAGTGCAGATGACAAAGCAAAGTGTTTTAAAATCAGCGGTTTTTCAGTTCCGTATTGAAAATGTCTGTGGTAACTGACTGTATGCTACACATAAGACAGAAATGAAAAACTTGAAACTTAAAAAACGTTGGAGTGATCCTTTAAAATTACCCAACTAACTTAAAAAACATAGCATTTCATGAAACACCTCCAGCTGCAGCGAATAAGCTGTGAGGAGCAGGAGCTTCAGCCTCACCGTTTTGGAGAGACAAAGGGCACACAGAGCAGCAGCACCGCGAACACCTCGGCGTAGAGGAACGTAGCCACAGCCGTCCACTGGAGACTCATAGCGGCGGCTTACAAACCTGCTGGGACACATCAGCAGTGGTCAGTCCAAAGTCAGCAAAACACAAAAATCTGGGTTTTATAGCAGCTTTAGGGGCAGCAATGAATAGTGTTTGTTTATCTGAGCTTCAGCTGTGTCTGTCGTCATTTGGGAGCAAATAAGTTGAGCTGGGACACAAGATGGACTATTTGGCCAATTTAAAGTTATTCTTTAGTTGTTGCAAAAAAAAAAAACTATTTAATTTTTACTGAATTTATTTATACGTCATTTTTGCCAGCTAAAATTTCATCATCGTAGCAGGCCTAGCTTCAAAAAAGACAAAGCTCTATACTTCCATAATGGATGTGGAGACTTCTAAAAGAAATACTTGCAAGCATCTTGGCTTTTATAGGTTTTGGCTTTTTTCTACAATACAAACACTAATATCTACAGTACAGGCCTAAAAGACTGTAGACACCAGCATTTCTTCTGAAATTAAAGGGTATTAATAGGGAGTTTGTTGCTCTTTGCTGCAGTAACAGCCTCTACTCTTCTGGAAAGGCTTTACATTAGATGATGGAACATTGCTGTGAGGATCTTACTGCATTCAGCCACAAGAGCATTAGTGAGGTCAGGTACTGATGTTGGATGATCAGTTCTGGATCACAAATGTATCCCAAAGGTACTAGATGGAGCGTCATCAGTCCAGAGAACCAATGCCGGTGGGCTTTATACCCCCCTAGCAGAGGCCTTAGGCACGGTCACTTTAGCCTCAGATCATCCCATTCTATTGGTCAGCGCTTCGTATGGAGATTATACAAGCTGTATATATGCAATCAATCACCTGTGTCAGTTTAAAGCAGCTCAATTCAATTGGTAGAAGGGGTGTCTGGATACTTTTGGACATGTAGAGGTTTTGGCAAAGTGCTGGCACAACAGCACCATCTCCTGTTTGGAAGAAGACACCCTAAATGGCCAAAAAAACAAACAGCCTAGCAAACAAATCTGATCAACGTGAATCACCATAAGGCCTAAGGTCACATTGATCCAGCCACGAGTTACAGTGAAGTCATCACTGACCATTTAGGGTCTCTCAGATGTTGTAAATGCTATCGAGGGATTCTGGATAAGCTCCAAGTGCATCAGATCTCAGATTATTCTGGAAAGGCGTGGAAAGACAAGGCACAAGACACGGTTGGGTAATATTAGGGTGGATGTGGGCGGACTGAGAAATGTGGAGAAATGTGGAGAAATGTGTGATTAATAGCTGAACTGCTACCCACATGTATAATACAATTACAATACTAAGCTTCTGCTGTGAATGTCGACCCAAACAGAGGACAGTTACTGAGTCATATGAACGTTTTCTGTTATCCAAAGTAACCACAGTATAGAGTGAAATAATTTAGGATAATATATGCACATACAGTGACTAGTAATCACCCCTTTTGATAACAAAATAATAATAACTAGCCCATAAATACATTTCTAAACGCCACTGTTTACCTTCTGATTAGCTAGGCTATGCAGCTTCATTAAACACGGTAAGCTAAACAGCTGAAATGAATCTTCTCCTAGTTCTGCTTTAGTTTATGTTTTCGATACACTACGTATCGTTTCGTTTCGTTTAAATGACTTAAACAGGTCTGGGGAAGAAGAGTAAGCCTCTCCGTTAGCGAGGAAGCTGTATTCGTCGGGTTGTTGTGCGAATTCTCCCGTTCCACCTTAAATGGTGCAGTAGCTACATTGTGGCGCCTCGGGCGCTGAATGTAACCGCTGCACCATTTAAGGTGGAACGGAAAAATTCGAACAACCAGCTGAGGAACACAGAGCCACGCCTGCTTCTCTACACTCCGAACACTCCTCCATCCGCAACACACAACAAACACAAACACATGGAAACTTACGGAGCTCGGCAGAGTGAAATAAAAGTAAAGGCCTCGCAGAGCCTGAAAAACGCCAATCAAAACTTCGGCAGTGCTGCGTTTCTCTTCCGCTCTGCGTGGCCGCCCCGTCAGCTTTCCTGTTTCAGACAAACCGCTAACAAAATCAAAGTCCTCGGCTGTGTCTCAAATCAACCTCTTGTTCCCTATGTAGTACACTAAGCTCGTATTCAGTGGAGTCTCCTACGCCATCTGCTGGCTACGTTCAAAACATCGTTTGAACCGCCATTGATTTCGCCAGAGGAAATATTTGACAACGGATTAAAAATCTTTTAATTCTTAACACCTTTGTGAAACAGTTTGCGACCGTAGAGGAACAGGGTAAATAAATAAATAAATAAATAAAACTGAATGATTAAGAAATGATTAAGAAATACAATATCAGAAATAAATCTAAAAATAGGTAAATGTATAAATAAATAAATAAATAAATAAATAAATCAACAAACAAATGCAGAAATGTCCCATATTTATTTATTAATGCATTTATTTTTGCTTCTAACTGTAGATCTGATCTAAAATGACTGAACGAAGTTATAATATTTTATTTTTTTACATATTTATATCTATTTATACATTTTATATGAAGTTATATACAACAAGTGCAACATAGCAACTTCTTTTATGCACTTGAAGTTTTGAATCACAGGTGTGGGGCATGAATTAAAGTGGAATTTTGACCTAAAATGTGCTTCATAAATTACATTAACTCATTATATTTATACATAACAGTATTTCATGTGAACGTGTAGGAAACAAGGCCAAATGGAATTGTAAAATAGTAAAAATCTCATCATAAATGTTCAGAAATTGCACTATTCAGTTTTTTAAAGCAGAACAGCACAACATATCCGATGGAAATCGAAATATAAACATATAACAGTGTACACATACATAGTTAAATTTGCTATGGGGAGGTACATATAGTAACTACACAAAAATAATGAAGTACATACAAGCTTTAACAGTTTTATAGCTTATATTTTAAAGAGGGCTGGATCAGTTCAATATAATGTTCCATCTCTTTTTCCAAAGCAACAAAAATGGGCCTTTTTGTCTGAGAATTTACACTTATGAACAGATAAATCAGCCTTTAAAGGTATAAGATGTATCATATATACATGTTTACATTTAGCTATGTGATTTTCCAAAAGTGTTGTTTCCACAGTAAACAATACGTTTCATCAATATTATGAACAATAAAGGTTCTGAGGCTTTGCCAACTTGTCTTTCACATATTGACTGTGCCACTATTCACACTATTCAGGTCTTTTTCCTCCCCTGTTCAAGTCAAACATGTTGTTTATTTACATGTGGCATCACACGTTTTCCGGAAGGGCTGAGTGTCGCAGTGTTCCAGCAGAGAGGCTACATCTGGCTACATCAGAGACCTTGTAGAGAGGAGAGTGACCGCTCTGTAATGTCTTCTAGGATTCTCTAACGCTAGAGGGCGCTCCCGAGAGAAAATGAATGGGTTAAGATGGAGCATTTGAGCAAAATCAGAGTTTACAAATGCTGAAACAATGTAAAATAATACATTAATTTCCCGAATACTGAACAGCATAAAACATTTTAACACTGCTGTTAAGAGCTTTCAAACTCGAGTTATAGGAGTTTAAAACAGCGCCTCATGTACGGCCATGACGTCAGTGAGCGCGAACAGCCAATGAGCTGCTCCGGTCGCCAATCAATCAGCACTCAGTAGCAGTAAAGCCCGCCTCCTGCTGCCCAAAACCTGCTGTAGAAAATAGGAAACATACAGGTGAGTTTTCTGTGCTTTTTTTAGTGAAATATATTCGTCTACTTTCTGAAATTAGAGGAAAGTTCAGGGCGAATGATTAGAAACGATTTTAACTTTAGCCGTTAATCTCCATTCACCCCCATTCATTGAGGACTCGCTCGCAGGAGCCCTCTGGCGTTTCGCCGCCAGGTTCTTGCTAAGACGGGGTGAATAGGAAAATGCCAGGCTCCTCATAAACGAAGGGGGGGACTCGAGTTCCCAAGCAAGTGTGAAACTTTAGTGATAATATTCTCCCTATTTAAGCTAACAGCGATGTTGTGGCCATTTTGTAATGTCTGGGGTCTTGTGAGTATTTTGTGCCTACATATCCGTTTTCTGATGAGCTGATTTTAAGAATAAACAGTTTTGTTTGGGGTTTGATCAGCCCTCCCCAGTCCTACCGCAAAGGCTGCTGCCGTTGCCCCAGGAGACGGGGGCGGGGCGAAGAGTAGACAGGAACCGAACCAGAGCAGAGAACTTGTAGAGAAGAGAATTACCGCTCTGCAATGTCATCCGGGTTTTTCAGACGCTAGAGGGCGCTCCCGAGCGTGCCCAAAATGAATGGGTGAAAATGGAGCATTTGAGTAAAATCATAGTTTATAAATGCTTAAACATTTTTAATGTAAAAGAATACACTCATTTCCTGAACACTGAATATCATAACATTTTAACACTGCTGTTATATTTTTAAGAGCTTTTAAACTCGAGTTATAGGAGTTTAAAACGGCGCCTCATGTACGTCCATGACGTCAGTGAGCGCGAACAGCCAATGAGCTGCTCCGCTCGTCAAACAATCATCACGCTCTAGCAGTAATGCCCGCCTTCTGCTGACCAAAACCCGTTTACTGTAGAAAAAAGGAAATATACCGGTAAGATTTCTTTATTTTTTGGTGAAATACAACCTTCTACTTTCTAAAATTAAGAAACGTTCTGGGCGAGTGATTAGAAACTATTTTAACTTCTCGTTTTTAACTGTTGAGCTCCATTAACTCCCATTCATTTAGGACTCGCTCGCGGGCGCCCTCTGCTGTTCAGCAGTCCTGTTTTTGATATATCGGGGGAATAGGAAGTGGCCAGGCTCCTCATAAACCGGCTCTGAGTCGGTTTATGAACCAAACCCCTTTCCCCCCTTTAGCTCGAATAGGCATGGACCATCTTGGTTTACATTACATATAATACAGTGTATGTTTTTTTTTTTTAAATATAATACAATCTCTCTTTTTTGCATACAATCTTTGGTTCCAGCGCAGTGTGAGCTGCTGACGTAATCAGGTCATTCACTTTCATTCCCTAGATAGTAATCCACTACGTTGAGAACGCGGGGTGGATTTGGGACACATCCACCCTGCAAACAAATAAAAGCTCGGCGTGTCGGAGATACGAAGACGGTCAGTCTGAATGATCGACCGAGGCAGTCAAACATTATGTCATTCCGTTAATGAACAACTCAAGCAGAAGTAAAATTAGATACCAAATGAACAGCCTGACTAAAAAAGGCTTTCTAACATCAGTGAATTTCACTTTATCCAGCATCCATCTGTAAAAGGGATTCGCGTCTGCTAAACTCGGTTCTCCTTTTTTTGGAGATTCTTTTGGTCCAAAATAAAATGTTAAAGCTCCACTGGGCCTCGTGGGTGAAAGGTTCAGCTCTGTGAAAACAGCTAACCTACATTAGCGGGTGTTGCACGCCAGGCGTGACAAGAAGAAAGTTGATATTTCAAAATAAAAGACAATTAAGATTAATTATCACTATGAATTATTACGAAGATTCTATTAAGAAAAATTAATGTAATAATAGTTATTAAATAACATCTATTTAATCTAAGAACTTATATATATTATCATATAGGAAAGGATAAACAAATTCACAAATTCATACCATAAGTAATTGTATATTTCAGCATATACAGTGGCACTTGAAAGACACAGATTAATAAGAGTCTTGATTAAAATTAGACTGTCAGAGTGAGATTATTTAATGGGAATCTCTCTAGTATTAAACAATCTGCGATGTAACACAGAGACTAGGCTTAATCCTTTAGCTAAACCCCTCATGAACACCATAAAGAGAAACACCATATTGTCAAAGGCTTGAAATGTTTATTAAATATATATGTTTTTGTTCAATGCTTGTAATCATGCGAAACGATTCAACCTATTAGCACCATCTCTAAACTTATCATAACAATATAAACATGGTAAAATTCTTCCAGGGTGTCAGTGTAGCGAGTATCCTGCAGAGGGCGCCAATGAGAACGTCATATAAATACAACATACACTTTAATTTCACACTTAAAAATGTCAAATTCTTTGCCTTTTGATAACGGAGTGACTAAATGGAGCCTCCACTGCACCAAATGTAAATTTTAGTGTATGAAAAAGCATAATATATATAAACAAATGTGCTCTGATAGCAAAAAAGTTAAGGCACATTTTGAAGGCAATTTCAAGCTTAGTGTTAAAAGAGCACTTGGAAAAAATCTAGTAAGCTATAAAAAAAATCTAGTTAGCCATTTTCCTTAAATGCTTTCTATAATATTAACAAATAATATGACGAAGATATAAAAATATAAAGTAAACAATGCCAAGTACCTCAGAACAAATGTGTTAATCATTTGAGTGTGTTAAAAAAAATAATAATCCAGAAAATACACTGAGGAAACAAACTACTCATAAACCTCATAGACAGAAATGTAAACAAAGAAAATGCATATGTGTTTTTGTACTAGCATCCAGGTTTTAAAGTATTAATATTAAAATCAGTTTTCAATGACTTCATGGCCTGGATATTCCCAGACAGACCAGTTGTTTGGCTAAAGAAAAAAACATACAGTCTAATGAGGAAAAGGACAATGAAGTTTAAGCCATACAGTAAATGGTCTCAGCAAAGAACCACTTCAATTTGAAACACAATCACAGTCGTCCAGTAAAATATTCTGTGTTATGATTAGCGTTAGAAAAATAAAATATTCCTGGTTATAAACTGAATACTGTTATTACATGAAGGCACTTTTCTTTTCACTTTACTCCTTTTCCCTCCTTTGGTCCTGAGGCGCGTTCTTGCTTCTTGCTCTCTGCTCATTTCTTGTGGAAGTGTTTCACAGTTTAGCTTCCTTTCTCCTTCTCTGAGGTCCTACAATACAATGACAAAAATAAACCCAGACACAGTTAATTCACCTCAGAAAACAATACGCACTGCCTGGCAATGCTGTACTCATCACAGCAACTGATATGAACACATTAAAATCAGAGTTATGAAGTTATTTGGCATGAAATTTAAATACATGTGCTTTTGCATTTCCTGTCAAATGCTGTAGTTCCATAAAACTTACCATATTTGCAGTTTGCTTACATTTTAATGAAGGTCTTTGTTGTTTCCTCTATATCTGTGTGTGTGTATATATATACACCGATCAGGCATAACATTATGACTTGTTTCTATGCTCAGTGTCCATTTTATCAGCTCCACTTTCTATATAGGTGCACTTTGTAGTTCTACAAATACAGACTGTAGTCCATCTGTCTCTCTGTATACTTTGTTAGCCCCCTTTTACCCTGTTCTTCAGTGGTCAGGACCCCCATGGACCCTCACAGAGAAGATACTATTTGGGTGGTGGATCATTCTCAGCACTGCAGTAACACCGATGTTGTGCTGGTCTGGAGTGTGGAGTTTTTAAACACTGTGTCCACTCACTGTCCACTCTATTAGACACTCCTACCTTGTCAGTCCACCTTGCAGATGTATAGTCAGAGACGATAGCTCATCTGCTGCTGCACAGTTTGTGTTGGTCATCCTCTAGTCCTTCATCAGTGGTCACAAGACGCTGCTCACAGGACGCTGTTGGCTGGATATTTTTGGTTGGTGGACTATTCTCAGTCCAGCAGTGACACTGAGGTGTTTAAAAACTCCAGCAACACTGCTGTGTCTGATCCACTCAGACCAGCGCAACACACACTAACACACCACCACGACGTCAGTGTTACTGCAGTGCTGAGAATGATCCACCACCCAAATAGTACCTGCTCTTTGAGGGTCCATGGGGGTCCTGACCACTGAAGAACAGGGTAAAAGGGGGCTAACAAAGTATGCAGAGAAACAGATGGACTACAGTCTGTAACTGTAGAACTACAAAGTGCACCTATATAGTAAGTGGAGCTGATAAAATGGACACTGAGTGTAGAAACAAGGAGGTGGTCATAACGTTATGCCTTATCGGTGTATGACACCCACTCATATATATTGTCTTACGTATTTACTGTTCTGTATATTTATTGTCTGATGTATTTATTGTGTATTCTGCACTCGTTTCACACTGTTGTGTATCTGCACTCTGTGTAGTCCTGTGTAAAGTGCTGCTGTTGTGTTTGGGGGTCCAGAAGAATGACATTTTGTTCCAATGTACACAACTCACATTGACATACAGTTGTAGGCAAAAGTTTGGGCACTCCTGGTCAAATTACGTTTTGTTTTTTTTTTCTCTAAGTGGAAGCATCTAGGAGCAACAACAGCTCAGCCAAGAAGTGGTAGATCATGCAAACTCACAGAACTCACAGAAAATCTTGTCTCCACTTTTGTTGTTTTTCAGTATTTAACATAATTAAAAAAGACCTGTTGCCTTTTACGTTGAGTGTAAATTTCATGATGAATGGACCAAAAGAAATGGCCCAAAATGAGTTGGAAAAAAGTCTGGTTCCATTGACATACATTAAAAGTATGTTTTTTCCTTCTCCTGTAAAGTTATTATTTTGGAGAGATGAGGATTTTGTTCCGACAGCAGTCATATAAATATATATATGTCATTAGAATAGGGATGTCTGTTCTGTCTGATACAAATCTTTCTAGTGTGCTTTCTGAAATGCAGCTGATTCTATTAACACATAATTGAACACTGATGTGTTACCTGCCAACATTTATTCATTGTAGTATAAATGCCAGTCAGAAATAACACCACATCACCTTCAAACACATGCAGGCATTCAATCACAGCGCTGTAGCTTGAGAAAAGAACACCGGCAGCAGAAAAGATCAGTACAGCTGAGCGGGTTAATCCTGTTTGTGCACTTTTCGAAGGAATACTTAGAAATTCAAGAAGAAAATTTGGTCTGAATGGAAATTCCTTATTTAAGGTTTAATTCAGAGATTTTCTGGTGTTCTCATGTTAAATAAACAAATAAATAAACAGTTGTCTTTTTTTGCCAGCTTTAATCATTTTACCTCTAATCTGACAGGTTCTTCTGAACTCCTCAGATTATACTGATATGAAGCTGTATTAAAAGAGCACCCAGGAGTTTGTCAATCTAATCTCTAGTTGCAGCATCTGTTTCTGTATGTTTCCTTGTACTTTGAACTGAAACATTGTTAATTCAAATAACACTGATAACAGAGGCTCACTAGCAGCTGCTTTGGCACTTGCCCATTGGCTTCTACAAACCTCAAGTCCAAAAAAGTTATGGACTGTGAGTAAAATGCTAATGCTAATGCTAAAGTCAATTCTGTTTGACATGTTGAATTGTAAACTGTACAAAAACATTATATGTAATGTTTCACCTTATGACCTTGGTTGTTTTTTTGTAAATATAAGCTGATTTCAAATATGATGCCAGCAACATGTGCCCAAACACTGGGTATAGGAGCATGTTTACAACTTTGTTACACCACCTTTCCTTTTAACAGTATTTAATAATAATAATAATTTGGGGACTGATTCAGTTTTGAAAGAAGATTTTTTTGCAATTTGTTTATACAAGTTTTCAACTGTACAGGGCCTTTGCTGTTGTGTTTTGTGCTTTGTAATGCACCACGTTTTCAAAGGGAGACAGATCACAGGAAGAGGCCAGTCACTCACTCTCTGATTGCGCAGCCATGCTGTTGTTATGTGTGCAGTGTGGGTTGGTGTGTTGAAATAAGCAAGGATGTCCCTGAAAAATACTAGATGGCAGCATATGTTGCTCCAATATGTATATATATCGTTACCCCCCATCTCTCGATACCATGACAGACCCTGCCTTTGTAACTTTATGCTGGTAACAATCTGGTCATTTTTTCTTTCTTCTTTGTTTCCATAAACAATCTGAAAGTTTGCCTCGTTAGACTACAAAACATATTTTCACTGTGCATTTCAGATGAGCTTGAGCCCAGAGAAGTCGGTGGTGTTTCTGGACATTGTTAACATGTTATCATTCTGTAATATTCAGTACATAAAAAATATTTTATGTCACATCAGACCTGCATATGTACAAATATTTACACATCTTTTTAGCTCCTTATTATTCTTTCTTATTCTTTATCCTACTTATTCTATTTTTCTTTTATTTGTTTCTTAGTTAAATACTTGTTAATAGTCTGTGTGCTTGTCTGGTCTGTTCAGTATGTCACGTCATACATGTGTGCACTCACCAAGACAAATTCCTTCTATGTGTAACATACTTGCCGAAATAAAGTGATTGATTTGGTTTCTGCTGTGCATAGAATGGTTTTACTTCCATTTGTGCAGTTTTTTTCAGTCTTTAATCTGGAGGTCCACTGACCAGTACACTTTATCTCAATAAAGGGCTATTAACGAGCTGATTAGCTGGATCAGGTGTGTTGTGAGCAGAGAAAAGCAAAAAGTGCAGGGCAGTGTTGAAGACCAGGGTTGAGAAAAACTGCATTAGTGGATGCAACAACTTTACATTGACAATAGTTTGTCAAAGCATTCTCAAACCCATATGGTGATCACAGAAGCATATTAGTTTTCAATGCAGTGCTGTCTGAGGGGTTAAATGTCATGGGCATTCAGTTGTGGTTTTCAGCCTTGCCCTTTACGCACAGGTTTTTTTTAATTCTCTGAATATCTTGATGATCTGCACAGTAGAGGGTGAAATACCTAGAACATCTAGCACATCCATGCATTTACATGTTGAGGAACATCGGGCCTCATTCACCAACCGCTCTTAAGAAGAAATTTCTTCCTAAAAACCACTTGCACAGTTTTCACAAAATTTCTGACAGACATTCACCAGTGTTTTCTTATTTGGGATTTGTTCTTAGGTAAGAACAGAATCTACACACACTTAAGAGCACAAAAGTGAGAACAGTCCTGTGGTTTAAGAGCATATCAAGAATCTGACATAGACCTTTTGTTGAGACCTTTCTTGAGAACAACTCTAAGAAATAATCTATTGGTGAATGAGGCCCAGTGTTCTTAAATTGCTGGATTATTCACTGACGCATGGCACAGCATCTCAACTCAGTCTAGGTCATTAAGGACAAGGCCTTTCCTGGATGCTCCTTTTCTACTCAAGCAAGACTGCATCACCTGTTTGATGTTTTTGAACATGACATTTCTAGTCTTAAAGTTTAGTCATGAACTATTTTGAAAATGCTGCAGGCATCTTTTTCAGAAAGAGCCTGTATTTACAAAAACAATGAAGCTGATATGGTAAATTTATTAAATATGTCTTTGTATAGTTTTCATTTAAATACAGGTTAAAGTAAAATTACAAATGACTGCTTTTCGTTTTTCAATTTATTTTACATACCGTCCCAAGTTTTTATTAGAACTGAGGTTTGTCTTGTATGTTTTAAGTTAACAAGTTTTCAACATGTACATCAAAATGAGTGTCTGTTGTAATCAGCTTTACTCTACAGAAGCACCAGAAAAAGATTATGAAGAAAAACAGTGGAGAGCTGCTTTAATTTGTGTAGACTAGCCATGAAGACACAATAACTTTTGAGGCTCAGATAACAAAACAGGACGTGATCACTATTTGATGTTTATTGTCGGCCTCAAGAAAGAGGCCACTAAGAGAAATGAAGCCAGCAAAGGCTGTTTATCATCTTTTCACAGAGTATTTACAAACCCATCATAGTGCCAGAGTCATAGAGGAGAAACAGAGGTTACTTAACAGGTCTTGTATTAATCTTTTCCACAGAATCTCAAACTGAACTGTGTGCAGTTTTGAAAGTAAACAAAAAAGGGACAGAAACTGTAACTGGACATTTGTGATATGTACACATGCACAGTCAGTGTTAGTCAAAACACAAGAGAGGCAGATGCTGTTTTTATCAGGGTGACAAAAGGAGGAGATATTCACCACATTCCCAAAACCCAAAGGAATACGGGTGCAAGCCTAGTGTCCATGATAAAACAC